TGGCCTTTGACCCTTTCATGGTATTCCTGACTGCAAAGAGACATGACATGGCCCATCTTGCCACAAGCTCAAGCAAGAAAGAGAAAGAGGATCAAGTGGGAAGAAAGAGGGGAGGGAATGGGAAAGGACTGGGAAATAAAATCTACAAACTTCTGCTGTGTACATGTATAACTATGCCACAATGAATCTTATATACTCATATATACATAAATTATAATAAGGATGAAGGAAATGATGCCTGGAATACAACCTGCTTTTCCTATGACTTATCATTCTTATGTTGGCTGAAAAACTTGTAAAATTATGAAATAATTCAATCGAGTCTTCTATTTATAATTGTGGACCATGATTATTATCAAAAAGAAGGAAAAACCAGGAATACCAATTTTATCAGCTTGTTTCCCTCTAAAATCTCTGGGAGGAAAATTATTATGAAAATGAAATTTCTTAATAACAAGACTGTTACTTTTGCATAAATAGAAAAAAATAATTAAAAAATAGAAGCAAGATATAAAACATACACACATATATAAATAAGAAGATAATATATGAGGAAATAGTGGGAAAATAGGATTCTAATAAGTGTTTTAGGAATTTGTATATATGTTGCTGGAAATATAATCCACCCTTACCCTCATATTATGCAAAAATACATTACAGATAAATCATACTCCTAAATATGAAAACAACACTGTCTTTAGAACCTAACTTAGGAAAATTATTTCATGATCATTGTGAAAAGTAAAAATTCTTAAACTAAGCCTAGATATTATGTGCTATATAAAAGATATTCTAACGCAGTTGAAGAAGGTAGACTCTGGAGACAGTCTGGGTCAGGTTCAAGTTCTAATATTCTGTTCTTGTAAGGCATTAACTCAGATTCAGAATTGCACCCTGGGTGTGGTAAAAGGAACCTACCTATTGATATGTTTTCAGGATTGAATGAACTAATATATAAATTTTGTAGAATTAGAGAAGGCGTATACTAACCACTAAGTTAGGAGTTACCAATGTCAACAGCTTTTGAATCCTGGACAACTTGTTCATTCTAGAAACAGGTCTTAGTCATATTTGACATGATTTGTGGCTCTCTACTTCCTTCTAGTTCCTCAAGGAGTTTGATTCAGATATCTACCTTATACAATCTTGCTACTGGATTGTATGGTTTAGATGTAAGTTATCCCCCCAAAGCCCATGTGTGAGACAATGCAAGAAGGTTTAGAAGTAAAATGATTGGGTTATAAGAAACTTAACATGATCAGAATATTAATCCTCTGATAGATATTAACTAAGTGGTAACTATAGACAGGTAAGGTATGGCTAGAGGAGGTGAGTGGATGGGGATGTGTCTTTGGGGGAGTGTATTTGTCCCAGTTCACCTGAGTGCTTTCTGATTCCTGTGCCATGTTTCCAGCTGCTTTCCTCTGGCACACTCTTCTGCCTGATGTTCTGCCTCACCTCAGACCTGAAGGAATAGAGTCACTGTGTAGGGACTAAGACCTCTGAAACTGTGAGCCCCCAAACAAACTCTTGCTCCTCTAAAATTGTTCTTATTAGGTCTTTTGATTACGGTGGCAATAAAACAAAAAAGCAAAACAAAAAACAGAGACATCTAGAAACAACTTTCTTCTTAATTGACCCAGTAACCCAAATACCCTAGGTGGACTGTATATATGGGTAACAGCGACAACTTCTCAGCCATAGTATGACTCCATGGAATTCACATTTGTTTCCTCTAAGCCAAACAGTGAGAAATCCCCAGGTGGAACCTTCAAGGGTAACATCCTGGACCCCAATAAGGCTCTAACCTATTCTTCTCGCTTTCTTTTTAACCTTCACCCACTGGTTGAGTACATGCCATTTCTAGAAGGCTCCCACTTCCCCTTTGCCTGTGAAGCATGCTACCCTGTTTTCTCTGTAATCTGTAAATACGATGTTGCTTGTTATTTAATCTGTTTCATCAAGTTGCCTCCTCAGTGTCTTACTTTATGCAAACCCCAGAAACTAAATTCTTCTTCATTAAGAGCTCTCCTAGAGAGTGGCTGTGTTGGTAGGGATGAACTGGAGGTAGCTCACACAAGAGCCACAATTGTATCTGTCATAATAACCAAGTTTCTTGTGAGAAGTACAACTCATTGAAAGTCACATGCTTAGACATTAGCCTGCCGATCAGAATAAGACGTATTCTGTGAAAGACACAGTGTAAACATGAACATCCCCCAGAATTCTGGGGGAAGGACTAGCATGTATTACCACTCAAGAGCAAACTAGAAATAGCAAAAAAAAAAAAAACCCTGTATCTTAACAATTTCTGCCATTACTTTAGAAACATGAGCTATGCTTCTTGTAAACTGTGTTCCAAATTCAAGTTTAATCCATGACTTTTGTATAGATACTTTTTTCTCTTTTCCATTCAGTTTTCTAGACTACTCAGGTTCTTTTTTGGCTTGCTTTTGTTTTGTTTTGATGGTTGGTTGGTTGATTGGTTGGTTTTACAGTGCCAGGAATCCAAACTAAAGCCTTGCATATGCTGGGTAATTTCTCTACCACTGAGCTCACTCTCAATTCTAATAAGTCGAATGGTGATCATACAAATCACCTGATGATTAATTACTGCAGAAATAGATACATTATTGTACTTAAAATGTTTTGCTCTGTCCCATCACTACTATTGCCAATTTTGGGTGCATTAAAATTGGAATGGGCTTTGATGTTTTCTCAAAACTATATGGAGTGAAACAACAACTCACATAATATAAGAGTCAGTATACTGGCTGTATTTTTACTTTGCATTTGAGGCTGAAGAAACCCTCAATAAACAGAAAATTCTGATCTTCTTATGAGTCAGGTTTCTATTCATATAGTATGTACTAAAAGTATATGTTGTATACTATATACTAGATACTATATATATATATATATATATATATGACAAGGTAGTTTGTTTTCCCCTCCTATGTGATCTGAATTTGGGAAGTCTGCAATGGCATGTTTCTCAAAATTATTGTAGCCACTCCAGGCTCTGGGAATTATGGGACACAATATCTTCCATGCTATCAGAGAGTCATGTGTGGGAACTGGGTGCTCAGCACTGTGTCTTCTGTGTCTCTGAAATCATATTAGTACAATTCTATGTCTACACCTGTTATCTACTAACACTGACCACTTAAATCTAGTGTATCATCAGTAGACATTTTGAAAAAGAGCATTCCTTGTACAAATATATTTCTTCCTCACATATGTCCTGCCACTCTTCCCTTTTATAAAGAGCTTATTGAAGAACAATTCAGAGCACATATCATGATGCTTTATAACATATGCATTGAAATGAAGAAGAAAAGGAAATTTGACAATCCCTTACCTTTTATAGTAACTCTAGTTAAAATAATATGAATAGATAGATTCTCCCATATGGGGGTATAGAAAAAGGAAAGATAGTGGAATGAATCTGACATAACTTTCCCATGTAAATATATGAATATGCCATATGATCTCACCATTGTGTACATCCTCAAGACTAAGGTCATCTAAAAAGAGCATGCTACAGGGACACTGCTACATCGATGTTCATAGCAGCACAATTCACAATAGCAAGACTGTGGAAGCAACCTAGATGCCCTTCAATAGACGAATGGATAAAAAAAAATGTGGCATTTATACACAATGGAGTATTACTCTGCATTAAAAATGACAAAATCATAGGGAAATGGATGGCATTAGAGCAGATTATGCTAAGTGAAGCTAGCCAATCCCTAAAAAACAAATGCCAAATGTCTTCTTTGATATAAGGAGAGTAACTAAGAACAGAGTAGGGAAGAAGAGCATGAGAAGAAGACTAACATTAAACAGGGATGAGAGGTGGGAGGGAAAGGGAGAGATAAGGGAAATTGCATGGAAATGGAAGGAGACCCTCAGGGTTATACATAATTACATACAAGAGGAAGTGAGGGGAAAAGGGAAAAATAATACAAGGAGGAGAAATGAATTACAGTAGAGGGGGTAGAGAGAGAAGAGGGGAGAGGAGGGGAGGGGAGGGGGGATAGTAGAGGATAGGAAAGGCAGCAGAATACAACAGACATGAGTATGACAATATGTAAATCAATGGAAGTGTAACTGATGTGATTCTGCAATCTGTATACGGGGTAAAAATGGGAGTTCATAACCCACTTGAATCAAAGTGTGAAATATGATAAAAAAAGACTGAGGTCATAATTATAAGATATATTCTATGTTTGTATAATTACATCAAAATTGATTCTACTATCATGTATAACTAAAAATAACTGATAACATTTTTAAAAATGATTTAAAATTTAAATGAAGCTGTTCTTTCTCAAGGAGTAAATATTATTTTTGAAGGGTGAAAAATGTTTGTGAATCAAAATCACTTATAATAACAGCCCTAGAAATCTTCTATCTTGATCTCAGAAGTGAGAAATATGTTCAAAGTCAGCAGCTATCTTTCACTCCAGGTCTCCAGGCTGTAGGGAATAGTTTTTTCATTGAAGCTATGAATGAATAAGGAATGGAGAATAGAATGATATGGTATAGTCTGTGATTATGGACTCTGTGGATGCCCATGGACTGCAAGGTGCAGTCCCGGGGCTGTGCAGTCTTTGTAGATATGGGTCCTGGACATAGCCCTGATGCTGTCCATCAGACAGCTGTGACTATGCACAGGGAGGGGTGAGTGGGAAATCCTCCCTGCTGTGGGTTTTTTGTTTATCCAGTACATGTGTAGAGTTCTTATTCACCTGTTCCCACCTCTTAAATCACTGCATGGAGGGTTGGGCATATGGATCTATGGAGGGCTGGGCATATGTTGTTATTATGTTGTTCTTTTCTAACAGAATTTCTCTATCAGTGTAAACATTCTGAATCACTCTCTGTCTTTATCTGCCAAAAATATGATGATGTCTCAGTTTTCACTCCCAGGTCTGTAAAAGCAAGAACTGGACTACAACACGATGTTTATGAAATTTAAAAAAAATCCAGCTTACCTGAAAACATCATGATTCATATTCTGTTGCTTCTGGTATCTGTGATGGGTACTGCAATCCATGGCATGTCCAAAGAATGCATGGTTCAAAAGAATTCATGATGGAATCTGTAAAATAAAAGAATTAAATTATCATAGGTGTTTTTCAAAGAGTAAAGTCGTCTTCTGAAAACTTGAAGGAAAATTTGTACCAAGGAGTGTAAAATATAAACTATGTAAGAATATAAACTATGTTCCCCATTATTGAAATTTCTCATTCTTTGCATAATAGGTTTCTTCTAAAACTTTATTGATGGGATCATGCACACAAACTGATATGTATATAAATGTTTGAAAATTCGATGAGACAGACACCTAGCTGTTAAGAAGTGGCTACTGACACTTAATGTGACACCTAAGTAATGAGGAGTATGATGAGGTATAGGAAAAGGGGCAATTCCTGGACCTTGATGGAGTCCTCCTTAAGCAGGCACTCTTGTGTTTGGAACAGTGGATCATAAGGGAAGGGGCCTTGTTATTCTCTCTCTACACATTAATTCTGTTCTAGAGTGCAAGGGGTTTTGTTTTTATAGTTGATGTAGGACTGAGTTTTAAAGGTTTTTTTGTTACTAAATTATTACTTAGGTTTTCAATTTTGTAATAATTTTAGATTTAGATAATGTTATAAAAATAGGATGGAGTTCCTTTTATCTTCTTGTAATATTAACATCTTCCATAGAATCTTTATAATAAATGAGAAATCAATAATGGTTACAAAACTATTGAAAATATTTTTTCATATGCGTGCTAATCAAGTTTTAGTTACTGTGACAAAATACCTAGGAAAATCAACTTAAAGGAGAAATGATTTATTTTGCTCATGGTTTATAGGTTTCAGTTTATTGTTGGCTGACTCCATTGCTGTGGACCTCTGATGAGGCAAAACATCATAGCAGAAAGGGCATGGGAGACCAGAACTGGTCACTTCATGGTGGCTGGAAAGCAGAGATTGAAAGAGCCTGTGGACAAGAAATACCCTTGTAGGTCATGAACCCAGTGACTTACTTCCTCTACCTAGGCCCCACCTTCTACAGTTTCCATAATCTCACAATAATGTCATTAATTCATGGATGAAGACGGATCTCTCATTATCCTATTGCTTCCTAAAATCCCCACCTCTGATCACTGCTACACTGGGAGCCAATTCTTCAACTCACTGAGCATTTGGAGAACATTTCAAATTCATACCATAACAGTATTTTATCTGGCGTTCTGCTAATGTAATTTTTAGGTTCTAGGATCTAATCCAACATACTGTGTTGCATTTAGTTTTTAGATACATTACCTATATACATTGTTGTACAAAAAATTACCACATAAATTAGTGGGTTAAGAAAGAAACATACTCTATAACAATTTTTATGAGACCAGGATCAAGATGCAGATAATAGTTAATGCTGACCCAAATATAAGACTTAAACCACAAAACCTGTAGAAGAGAACATAGAACTGAATTTCCATGACCTTATGTTAAATAAATGTTTTCTGACACCAACCAAACAACTAACGAGGAAAATAGATAAACTGAAATTTATTTGATCAGAACTTAAAACTCTTATGATTCCAAATACAGTATCAAAAAGTAAAAATATAGCGCAAATAACAAGATGTCACCCAATGATGCCCACCTTTTGGTATGCACACTGTGTATTCTGTCTCCTTCCCAAGAGTGTGGTGAAACTGGAGATGGCTTTTAAAATAACAGGCTATTTAAAGGGTAAGGAATATCACTTGGGTGGTTATGGTACATAAGACTGAGATTCTTTTGCTATAAACTCTCCCCTCTGATAGCTTTGATGAGGCTTTATGCCATGTGGGAAATGTCTACAAGTCAAAGAACTGAATCCAGCCTCTGGTCAATAATCAGCAAGGAACAGAGGCCCTTGGTCCTATAGCCTACTTACAGTTTTCCATATTAAATTTAGAAATAATACAAGTTGTTTCAAATAACACTATATTGTTCCAGATATAATGTACCTTATTATAACAAAATAATCCTAATTCCTCACTCTCATAGCTTGTATCATTGATATCTTTCTTTAACATATTATCTTTAATATATTGTTTCACACCAAACAACAATAATTTAGAGGAAGAAAAATTTATTTGGGGCTCACGGTTCAGAGATGGCCAACACCATTGTTCTGCGCCCAAGGTGAGGAAGCACATCATGGGGGAAGGACCCACCAGAGGAAAACTGTTCAGCTCAGCAGGCTTGGAAAGGAGAGATAGAGAGAGAAAGAGAGAGAAAGAGAGAGAGAGAGTCAGTTGGGGGAAGAGTCACAGGGAAGGTGCACCATTGCAGGGTACACCTCCAGTGACCCACTTCCTCCAGTCAAGCCCCACCCCCCCTACAGTTACCACTCAATAAATCCGTTCGAAGTAAGACGGACTGACTAGGTTACTGCTCTCATAACCTAATCATTTTACCTCTGAATATTCCTGCACTAACAGGAGCTTTGAGAGTTAATTCATGTCTAAATCATAACATTTGTATACATGCCCCTATGTATGGATATATCAGGGATAAGGAATTACATCACATAAGTTTAAAGGAGTCAACCAACTCTCCATGACAGTATAACAATCCTTATCATGCATACACCCAACAGCAGTAGATCAGAATCCTTGAAGTAGAAACACATATAATCTCAAAAAGAAATAGATGAATCCATTACAATAGCAGGAGACTTCAACATCTATCTATTAGTGATGGACAGATCTAGCATACAGAAAATAAGGACAGAGTTGAGAGCAATAATACATGAATCTCCTAAGAAAACTTGAGATAATAACATTTTAAGTAAATGAATACAAAAATGTATCTGGTCAAGATTTGTAGAATATGAAGAAAGCAGAGCTTAGGGGTCTTAGGTACCTCAATAGCTGGTACCACATCAAAACAAAACAAAACAAAAAAAATAAAGCACCAAATGCATGTTTTAAGAAAGAAAAATATTTACAACATGCCAAATTAAACCTTTCCTTAAGAGAAACCCAGAATCCCTGATGGTAACATTAACTTCCAAAAATTTAAAGATGCTCTTTATTTGACTTGGCATCCACAAAGTATCAATACTCTGGTTACTGCCTACATCACATAAATTTTTAACAAATACTACCCCGTCAAGAGGAGTTTAGACAGATCTAAATTATTTAGATTAATTTCATAGCACTTGAATGTTTTTGAATCTCAAAGATGTACCTGTAGGAATCCTCTTTCACTAGAGAGTGCTCATCTTAACACTGGCAAGGTTGCACTACTATGTTCACATAGCAGGCTCTAAGCAAGTACTCATCTGCTTACTGGATCCATGAATTGTCTCTATCCTCTTCTTGCTTTTGCTTCTTGGGTTGTTTCAGGTGAGGAAATCCATGTTCAGCCTGTGTTGAGGAATACCATCTTCACAAACCAGAACACATAGCATCTATTCACGTACAGACTGTGAGAAGAGTGTCAAAGGTTCAGCCTAAAACAATGTACATGAACTTATCAACTAACTAATAGAAATGTAAATCAGTTATTGATAAAGTCAATGCAAAGTGTCATCTAAAGAGACACAAGAAGATAAACTTTTTTGAAATAATTCACAAGTTAATAAAGAAAATAAAAGTGTTCAAGTCCCTATTGAAAACACAAGAGAGCAAAAATATGTGCTTCCTGGAGACATATATACACATTTCTGAGTGGCATTTTTATACCACTACAAACAATTTTAATATTCACTCATCAAAGAGTAAGAAAATAATATATACCTATACTATGGGACATCTGTAAAAGAAAATGTCATGAATACTTACAAAAAATGAGAAGGTGGCAATCCAGGACTCTAGCCAAAGCTTATAGTTCTTGCCTAAGGAGAAAAGCAAAAAATATGATGAAGTGTATATGTACAGTAACTAAGTGGTATGCCTCTGTATTCAGGGAGTCTCAGTGTTATGTCCACATTAATACTGTTCTTATAAATATTTCATAATTTAAAAATATCTAGCTGCATAATGAAACCATCTACAGATATTCTTATGCATGAGACCCTGAACACATTTTCCTTGTTTTTCTTAAAAAAAAATCATCGTCCCGGGCTGGGGATGTGGCTCAAGTGGTAGCACCCCTGCCTAGCATGCATGAGGCACTGGGTTCAATTCTCAGCATCACATAAAAACAAAATAAAGATATTGTGTCCACCTAAGCAAAAATTTAAAAAAATAAATATTAAAAAATCATCATCCTTCTCATTTTCAACCAAAGATATTTAGAAGAAGTTTCATAACAACTAAAATAGATAATGTATAACATCTATCTCCCCAAGTAAACTGATATTCCAATTTAATTAAGCAATGACAGAAATTTGAAAAGATGAAAATAGTTTAAAGAAATAAAAATAAATAAATAAATAAATAAAAATGTTGGAAAAATGCATTTTTAAACACAAATAAAAGCAATAACTTGCAACACAAAAATGCAAAATTTGGTTGTAGACAATATTTATGTGACCAAACATGAAAATATATGTGCAAGTGTAAACACATGCTGTCAGCATACAAAACAAAGATGAACATGACAAGGCAAGGCCTGAAGCAGTAATGTGCTGTTGTTCAGCAAGCAGAATAATTTTTTAAATGCCATTCTTTTTACAAATAATCTGAATTCCATATTTAATCCCAGAGAGAGTGTAGGGACAGCTGCACTTGCCTATGCAGACCCCACAGAAACACTTAGCTCAGCTGTCTTTGTGGGCATGGTCTGGAGAGGACCCACTGGATTCTCTGGACTTGAGCTGGAGAGCATGAAGGTTTCTGTACAGGCTCCTGACCTTCTAGTTTTCGTCTGGGCACTATTAATGTTTCTAAGACTCCAAAAAATAAATAAGGGAAGAAAAAAGAGTAGGTGAGGCATCAACAAAATTACTGAAAAAAAAAGAAAAAAGGAGAAAGTATGTTGCCTAAGATAAACAAGAACATTAGGAAAGTGCCAATAGTGATATTCAAAAGTTCTAAGCCCTTCTCTTCACTCAAGGTACAGCTCAGAATACTGGTATAGATGCAAATCATGCGTTGTTTTACTCTTTCTTTATTATAGAATAACATTGTGATTAAGGGAAAATTTGTGATGTAAGTAAGAGAGAAATAAACTAAAGGAAAAGATAAAATAATACAATATTAAAACTTATCTTGTGAATATAACTTTATGACTATGGGATATACTAAGATGTCTTAAAGTAGATCTGGAAAGTAGGTGCCAAATAAGAATAAGATAGTATAACACAGCTGACATGAGAAAAGGATCTGGAGACAGATGAGTCAGGTTTAAAATCATCCTATTCCTTTTTTGCACAGCTTGAGGTCAAATTCAGACCCAGATCAAAGGAGCAGGAATAGTATCTGCCTCTTGAGATGTGAAAACTGAATAAAGCACTGAAACATGTTAGCTTGTAGACTATTACTAGTTAGTAATAATCACTAACTGCTGTTTTAATGTATCATTCACATGGATTGTAGGATGCTTCTTTATTTTACATAACAATGAAGCAATACTACTGACAAACTACGGCACAAATATTTTCTATCACTTAGACTTTTAGCTAGTTATTAATGAAAAAATATTTCAACATATATGAAAAGTTGTCTCATATCAATGCATGAGAAGACAGTGGAATGAATCTGACATAACTTTCCCATGTACATATATAAATACACCATAGTGAATCTCACCATAGTGTATGTCCACAAAAAAGAGGTCCTAATTAGAACAAAATATATTCCATGCTTGTATAATTATATTAAAATAGAATGGAATGACATGTATAACTACAAAGAACCAATAAAGAAACAGAGAAGGAAAGTAGAAACAAAGTGTGGGGACAAGTGCATGGACTGCTGCATACATGGCATATGTTAAGGGTACCTGAGTGGCAGGCCACTCCCCTCATGCTAGGCGTGTGAGCACAAACTGCTTACCCCATAAGCACAGCCCTTGGCATGAGGCCATGTGTTGGAGTCCCGGAGCTTGCTCCACAGCTTACTCCTTGATTGGTCGCTGCAAGGAGATTTAGCAAGAAATTGTATTGGTGGCTGCCTACAATCTGCCTAGCTACTGCCCAAGTATATATACATGGTAACTATGCAATAAAATCAGACCTGCTTCCTGCTTGGTCTCAGGAGGTCTTGATTAGGGATTCCCAAACCACACTCTCCTCTACCCTGTTCTGTGGACCTCCTTGATGGACAAGAGAGCACATGCAGTGTTCTGTGGACCTCCTTGATGGACAAGAGAGCACATGCAGCAAAGTACATTTTAAAAAGTATTCTAAACCCAGATGCCCTTCAATAGATGAATGGATAAAAAAAATGTGGCATTTATACACTATGGAATATTATGCAGCACTAAAAAATGACAAAATCATGGAATTTGCAGGGAAATGGATGGCACTAGAGCAGATTATGCTTAGTGAAGCTAGCCAATCCCTAAAAAACAAATACCAAATGTCTTCTTTGATATAATGAGAGCAACTATGAACAGAGCAGGGAGAAAGAGCAGGAAAAAAAAAGATTAACTTTAAACAGAGACATGAGATAGGAGGGAAAGGGAGAGAAGGGAAATTGCATGGAAATGAAGGGAGACCCTCATTGCTATACAAAATTACATATAAGAGGTTGTGAGGGGAATGGGAAAATAAACAAGGAGAGAAATGAATTACAGTAGATGGGGTAGACAGAGAAGATGGGAGGGGAGAGGAGGGGGGATAGTAGGGAATAGGAAAGGTAGCAGAATACAACAGTTACTAATAGGGCATTATGTAAAAATGTGGATGTGTAACCGATGTGATTCTGCAATCTGCATTTGGGGTAAAAATTGGGAGTTCATAACCCACTTCAATCTAATGTATGAAATATGATATGTCAAGAACTTTGTAATGTTGTGAACAACCAATAAAAAAAATTAAAAAAAATAAAATAAATTTAAAATGAAAAAAAAATAAAAAGTATTCTAAACTTTCTTCCATTCAGAGAAAACTCTCTTGAACCATTTTCATCAAATATTATACAAGATTTCTCCCCATCATCATCCTCTGTGCTAACATGAGTATCTGGTAGAATAGCATTTCTTACGAAAGTCCCACACTGTTCCTCATGAGATCATCTTTCCAAGCCACTAACAGCCTCTCTTCTAGTGTTGATGTCAGTGTACCATTATTAGGTATCAATAGATAGTTTTTAGACCAACTTTATGTGTGTACATATGGTCAATAGTGTTTTTACACTATCAATTTTAAGATGCGTTTCTGTTTTAAAGATTTATATAAGACTATCAAATTATTATTAATGGAATAGTCTATTTTTCTATGTGACTGCCCCATTTCACAAATAAAATCACGGTGGCTCATCTGCTGTGTTTTTGGTCTATTATTAAGGAAATCTGTTTAAATATTGTATTATATAAGCTGACCAACTCCACTTATTCTATACCTAGCTATTAGAGCAATTTGTGGAATATTGTAATTACTATTTATATGCTATAGTGAACTCCCATAATTATATGTTGTGTTCCTGTCTATTTGAATATTGGTGTAACTTACTTATACCAGAAGCAAGGCATAGTCAACTGTGATACAATTTCCAGTTCTCTGCCTTCTCCCAGTTCCTCATTTTGGTCTATTCAGATATCTACCTTATACAACCACTCCCTAGTGACAAAATCCCTCTAGGACAGTTAGAGAAAGCACTTGATTTGCCCCACTGACCCACCCTTCTCCTGTAAACTGTACAGATACAGGCAGTTACTGCAGTCACAGTGTGAACTGCTGGAAGCCTTATTACTTGTAGAAATTAGAATTCCCCAAAGGAAGCCTGTTGGGTAGTACCCTGAACCCCAATAAGGCTTTGGTTCTCAGATATCCCTCCTCCCTCCCCATCCCCCTGCACCAGCTACTTTTCTCTATGCCTTTGGACCTGTAGGGTATACTGCACTCTTCTCTCTGGGACCTCTAAGTGATACAATGCTGCTGTTATATCATGTGTTTTATTGAATTGCCTTCTGTGTCTCACTTGACAATATCCCTGAACACACCTGTCACTATGTTCTGTTAGAGAGTGGATATGTTGGTTTGAATAAATGAACAGATACAAGTCAAATAAGAGTCACAAGGGAGTTTTCCAGTATAAACTAGTTTCCTGCAAGAGGAACAATTTCTTACTGATCATATGTTGAAGGCATGAAGCTAGCCACCAGAATAAAGAAGTATCTCATGAAAGGCACATATAGATATGGCACATATAGTGTCCACTAAAACAAACAAACAAACAAACAAACAAAAAACCTAAAAAATATATATTTAAAATTATACCTTAAAAATAGCTTGAGTTTATTCAAAGACAAATCCCAAGACCAATTACAAATAAATAATACAAGGAGAAATAATTTTATAAGCTATGGTTTAAAACTCCATTGAGAAATAAGGCAGAAATGGTAAAGTGCTCTTTCAAAGTGTGCACCAGAATGCAGGCTTTCTAAACACTTAGAAAAAAATTATAATGAGAATTTCTGCTCTACTCTTGAAGCTGCATTCCAAATTTAAGCATCTAATTTTTTTTTCTTCCCCATTCATCTTTCCAGTCAAATGGATGTTGCTCCTATATAATACATCCACTTCTGCATTGGCTGATCACTTAATGATCAGCCAATGCAGAATTGGATGTTTATGGTTTCATAAAATGTGTTGTTATGCCCACTTGCTACTGTGGACTTTGGACACTTATAAATTGGTTTTGTGTTTTGTTTTGTTTTGGGTACTGGGAATTAAAACCAGGAGTGCTTAGCCATTGAGCTGTATCACCAGAACTTTTTATTTTTTTATTTTGAGGTAGGATCCTGCTAAATTGCTGAGGCTGGCCTCTCTAAGTTTCTGAAGCTGTCCTTCAACTTGCAATTCTCCTGCCTTAGCCTCCCAAGTCGATTGGATTACAGGTGTGTGCCACCATATCTGGTGGGCACTTATAAATTAGATGGACTTTTGTATGTTCATTAATGAGCATTTTGAATGAGAAGAAATTCAATTTATGATTTAAGATTTTGACCGAAATGTGCATCTATTAATCCAGTATCAGGAAGGCTGAATAAAGTTAAGAACATGTCTGATCTCAAATACATGACCCATGAATTTATTGGATATCCTCATCTATTTGAATGAGTATGGAGATAGGGTATTGGTTTCTTGACTCATGATGTGATCTGACTTTGGGATGTTTGCAATGGCACCTTTCTGGTGGCCAGATCAGCCTCTGTGAAGTCTGCTAATATAGTAGGCTGTTGAAAATGACACCTTCCATGCTATCAGAAAGTAGTGTTTGGAGACTTGATGCTCCTTATTATATCTTTTGTGCCTGTGACATCATGTTAGTATTGTTTTGTGTTTATCACCTGTACTCTCTTAACTCTGAGCACTCAGCTCATTGACCTCAATTTGTCACTTTGAGATGGGTCATTATTTGTCTGGATCTATATGTGGCCTTTATAAAAGGTGGGGGCAGTGCCTGGAAAAACATTAAATCACAGCATACATCATTATAGATTATAATGTAAACATTGAAATTAAGAAGTAGAGAGGATTGACAAGCCAATATCTATTATAGGAACTCCAGTTAAGATGAAATACACAGAATAAAATTCTGTGGGTTCATGTGGATTTTGAGTATGTATGTCCCTTCTCAAAGAGTAAAGTGTGAGCTTAGAGGGTTGAGAATGTTTCTTAAATTACAAATGTCCAAAATAAAAGTACATACATATCTGCTATCCTGATCTCAAATGTGAGAAATGTGGTCTAGGTCAGCTGTGTCGCTCACTCCAGATCTCCATGAACAGAAGCTGATTTTTGCAATGAAGTTATGCTGAAGAATGGAGAATATGCCCCAATATTACAGAATATAAAATAAAGAATGCTAACTATGGATATCCATGATGTGCAGGGTATAGTCCCGCTGGTTTGAGTATGTGGAGCCAGTGGGCAGTCTTCCCTGCTGTGGAGTCTTTGTTTATTCAGCACATGTGCAGTCATCATTTATGTTGTATCCATTTCTTAGATCACTGAGTGGGGGCTGAAGATATGTTCCATCCTTTAAAGTTTTTTTTTTTTTTGCTTTGAACTGAGATTTCTTCACCTGTGTACAAAACATTCCAAAAAACTGACTGCCTTTACTGGACAAAAATCTTTTATCTAAATGGTCACTTATGTCCATAACTAAGGATTAGACTAAACCACCATGATAACATTTTTGGTTTATTGAATGTAGTCTACCACCAGGACAATACTTTTGCAATGGTGTTTAGGTGTGGCAATGGGTAACATAATTCCAGAATGTGAATGATAACATAACTACATGGTCCCAAAAAGAATTCTTGATGGAGTCTACAGAACAAAAATTATTGGAGGGATTTTTCAAATAATTAAAGGTACAGTTAGTAGTCTTTCAAAAACTTAAAGAAGGAAGCCCTGTGTTAAGGAAATACTCTGCTAAATGAAAAAAAAAGATTATTTATGGTTACTATCACTGACAGTTCTCAACCAAGGTGCTATACTTTGGATCTTAATTTTATCTCCCAAAGACCTATGTGTTCTATGTGTTAAGGGCTATTTTAAGCAGTTTTTTTTTTTTACTGCTATCACCAAAAGATCTGATCTGAAGAATTAGAAGAGGAAAAGTTTATTTGGGGGCTCCTGATTTCAGAGGTCTCAATCCATAGATGGCTGTCTCCATTTCTCAGGGCCCAAAGTGCAGCAAGATATCATGGTGGAAGACTGTGGTGGAGGAAAGCAGCTTGGAACATGGTATCAGGTAGTAGAGAGAAAGAGAGCTCCACTCAACAGAGACAAAGTATAAACTCCAAAGTCATGCATCCAACCACCCATCTCTACCAGTCACACCCCACTGGCCTACAGTTGCCACACTATCAATTGATTAATCCAGTTAATTCCTATCTGTGAATCAGTGCACGGGGTAAGTTTAAAGATATCATAACCCAATCATTTCACCTCTAAACCCTCTTGTATTGTCTCACATATGAGGTTTTGGGGGGACACTTCCCATCTCAGCTAAAACGTTTTAGTTTTAGTCAGCTTTTTAGCTTCTGTGACCAAAAGACCTGCCAGGAACAATTAGAGAAGGAAAAGCTTATTTGGGGGCTCATGGTGTCAGAGATCTCAGTCCATAAACAACAGGCTCCATTACTCAAGGCCTGAGGTGAGGTAGAACACCATGGTAGGAGAATGTGGTGAAGGAAAGTGACCCAGGACAAGGCCACTAAGAATCAGAATGAGAGCTCTGCCCAACAAACAAAAGTTATGCCCCCAATAACCCTCCTACTTCAGTCACACCCTACTTGCCTACAGTTACCACCAAATTAATCAACAGATTAATGCACTGATTAGGTTAAGGTTCTTAAAATCCAATCTTTTCACCTCTTGCATTGTCTATCTTGCATTGTCTCACACATGAGCTTTTTGGGGATACCGCATATCTAAACCGTAACAAGGACTTTATCCTTAGCCCAGGTGGTAAGTAGAAACTTTAAAAGGTGAGGCCTAGTGGGAGGTTTTGTTTACTGAAGGTGTACCCTTGCAGGGGATTCTAGGGTTCCAGTTTCTTCCTCTTTTTTATTTTCATGTTGTGGCTATGAGGAGAAGAGCTTTGCTCCACCACATGCTCCTGTCCTGATGTGCTGCCACACCACAGGCCCAAAAGCAGTGAGGTGAAACTATTACAAATTGAAACCTCCAAAAATGTAAGCCAAAATAACCTTTTTCTCTTTAAAAGTTGATAATCTCGGGTATTTTATTGAAGTAATGGAAAACTGACTAAAACACATGGCTTCCCCAAATCATATTTCCTCAAAATGCTTTAGAGGGATCCTTCAGATCTCTTTCAGACAATGTCTGAAAACAATGCTTTGAGAGATGTGAGGCAAAGGGAGTTTTCTTTGAAGAACTGGTCTCTGACACACAAAATTTGACTATTAATGGGATATATGATGGGAGAAAAGAAAGAGCAGGAGGGTTCCTGCAGTTTTGAGGGTATTTACATGAAGCAGGTGCACCTGTGTTTAATAATCACGGAAGCTACTCTGATATTCTCTCTCTATGTGAACATTCAGGTCCTGAGGCATAAGGATTTGTGTGTGGGGGTGTGGGTGTGTCTGTGTTTGGGAATGGGGTTGCATCAAATTAATACCTTATAAAACAATATTATTTTGAGATAATTTCAGATTTATAGTTTCAAGGTGATATAGTTTCATGTACATTCAGCTTCCTATAATCTGTACACCTTATATAACCACAGTATATTAATAAAAACTGAAATGACAGTGGTACAAAACTCTTAAACTGAACTAAGAAATTTCTTCTCATTTTAACAGTTTTTCACTAATGCTATTTCTTTTTTCTATTTGAGGATCCGAATCAGAATCCCATATTAGATTTACTGTCAGGTGTATTAATTATTTGTTATTGCCTAACAAATTGTCACATAGCTTATCGGTTCAAACCTTCACATAGATTACTCACAATTTCTCTAGTCTGGAACGCAGATGTAGAACATGGCCAAGGCTGAGGTCTGAATTGAAGGCTCTGCTGGGAAAAAATCCCCTTCCAAGATGATGTGGTTGTCATTAGGATTCAGTTCTGTGCCCAAGTCAAGATGATTTCAGGGCTGGGGATGTGGCTCAAGCAGTAGTGCGCTCGCCTGGCATGCGTGCGGCCTGGGTTCGATCCTCAGCACCACATACCAAGAAAGATGTTGTGTCCGCCGAGAACTAAAAAAAATAAATATTAAAAAAAATTCTCTCAGTTTCTCTTTTTTAAAAAAAGATGATTTCACTAGAAAATGATTAAAAATTTTAAATAATAATACCATTAATTTACAAATGTTTTTGGGTAAAAGAACCTCCCCAAAAAGGAGGATAACTCATTCTGAGGCCAGTTTATTTCTGATACCCAAGTCATAAAAAGATATTATGAGAAAATAAAATTACAGATCAACAAAGACGGAGGCATTAGATTAGAAACTTTGTAACTACTAGAAAAAAAATGTGTAGGATCAACACTTCAACATAGAGATCCAGGCAATGGCTTCCTCAATAGGATTCCTAAGGCTCTGGAAATATTAATTTAATGACATGAGATGGCATCAAATTAAAAAGCTCTGCACAGCAAAAGAAACAACTAAAAGCATGAAGAGAAAACCTATGAAATGGGTGAAAAATAATTATTATCTAATCTTATGACAAAGCATTAATGTCGAGAATATATAAAGTATGCAAAAGACTTACCACCAAATATCTAAATAATCCAATCAATAAATGGGCAGATGAATTAGACAAACCTTCTCTACAGAAGAAATAAAAATGGCTAACAAATATGTGAAAAAAATGTTCAACATTGTTAGCAATCAGGGAAATGCAAATCAAAATTATACTGAGGTTTCATCTCACTCTAGTTGGAATACCAGGTATCAATAATAGAAAGAAAGAAAGAAAGAAAGAAAGAAAGAAAGAAAGAAAGAAAGAAAGAAAGAAAGAAAGAAAGAAAGAAAGAAAATAAATGCTAGAGAAACTAAGGGGAAAAGAAAGACTTTGCATTGTTGGTGGGATTGAAAATTAGTACAACCACTATGGAAATCAGTATGAAGTTTTCTTTAAATGTCATTTGCTGGAAAATGGATGGAACTTGAGGGTGTTATGTTAACAAAAATAAGCCAAAGTAAGAAAGTCAAGGTTCTATATTTTCTCTCACATGTGGAACTAGAGAGAGAGAGAAAAAGAAAATAGTGGTGTTGGAGGGGTAGGGATATCCCAAAAATAGAAGAGAGACCAGTAAAGTAGAGGAAGAGACAAGGGGAGGGAGAAGAAGAGGGAAAGAGGTGGTACTGGGGAACAAAATTGGCAGGAATATATTGTTATTGTTTGCACATGCAAACATGTAACAGAAAATCCCACTGTTAATGATGAACCAATGAAAAATTTTATAAAAGAAAAATATGCACCAATATGACTTTTTAATATACAGGCAAAAATATTCAAGGAAATATTAATAACCCAAACCCAGCAAAATATAAAAAATTAGTATATAGTATGACAAAGGGAAAGTGATTCAAGTATGCAGGTTTGGCTTAACATACAAAAATGATTGATGTAACATACTATTTAATAGAATAAAGGGCAAAATTGCATGATTTTTCTCAAAAGATGCAGAGAAAATATTTGATAAACCCAACCCTCATTTTTTATTAAAAAAATTCAACAAATTTGGCACAGAAAAAAACTTTCTGAATCCAAAAAGGGCATTCAAAACACTCACATAACATCATAAGTTTGTCTTGAAAACTTCAGTACTTTCCCCAAGATGAGAAATTAGACAGACAAAGATATCCATTGTGGCTACTGCCACTCAATCTTGTCTTGGAAGAAGTCATCAGGGATACTACAGAGGAAAAGTAACCACAAGGCATCTTATATTTCTTATTCAACTTTTCCATATGGAAAGCAAGCCAAAAGACATACATAATCTTGTAGATAGAAAAATCCTGAGGAATCTACAAAACATGATTGGAACTAAAAATGAATTCTGCACAATTGAAATACATACAATCTCTATAATTTTTTTCTACACAAAATTATTTAACAATCAAAAATGAAACTCAAAAAATTTAAAATAATATCAGGTAGCACACTTGTGTTCCCAGCTAATTGGGAGGGTGAAGAAGGAAGATCACTTGAACACACAAATGTGAAACCATTCTGAGCAACATATCAAGAATCTGTGTCAAAATAATAAATAAAAGTAGACATAAATAAAATAGCATCAAAATAAAAAATAGGAATACATTTAACAAGATAAGTGTAAGATATGTACACTAAAAGCTTTAAAAAGGTAATAAACAAGACGTAAATAAATTAAAAAATGTCCCAGGTTCATTGATCAGAAGACTTAATATGGTTAAATAAGCCAATATATTTGAAAGGATTTTAGAAATTCAGTGCAATCCCTAGTAAAATCCCATCTGTATTCTTTTGTAGTAATGAACAAGGTGATTCTAAAATTCATGTGGAAATGAAAGAAATACAGTATAGCCCAAACAATCTTAAAATATAAAAACAAAGTTGAAATACTCAACTCATACTTACTGCAAAGTAATATCAATATAAACATCATGGTACCTGTAAAAGACATCTAGATTAGTGGAACAGCCTTCAGTGTCCAAAAGTTAATTTTTATATATACAGTCAACTGATTTTACATTTTGTCCAAAATATTCAATAAAGAAAATATTTTTGAAAAATGTTAGAACAAGTGGATTTCACATATAAATTGGACTCCTCTTCCACACTGCATACATAGAAGACTGAAAACAAATCATTTATCCAAAGGTAAGAGCTAAAATTGGAAAACCTGTGGAAAAGAACATATGAATCAATCTTTATAGACTTAGTTGAAAAAATGGTTTCTATAATGTGAAACTAAAGGCACAAATGACAGAATAAAAATAGATATTTCAAACTTAATATGAATTAAACATAATATTCCATCAAAAGTGAAAAGATAACTCAAAAAATGGGATTACATATTTGGAAACTACACAGGAAAAGAATTTATTGCCCAGAATATATAAAATTTCTTATAACTCTTAAAACAAAAAAGTGAATATCCTAATCAAAATTAATAAATTATTTCAGTAGATTTTTCTTTAAAGAAGCTATATAATATCCAAGAAACACCTTAAATAGCTCAACATTTTTTCATCTTAGAGAAATTAAATAACTATGAGATATGTGTTACAAATCTAATGGGCATATCGATGAGCCAAAAAGAAGTTGGAAAAAGCAAAAACTGTGATTCCATTTAATTGACACTGTAGGAAATATAGAGATAGTAAAGATATCAGTGATTATTAGAGTTTTGGGTGAGAGAATGTTTAAATGAGTGAAATAGGATTTCTCTGAGGCAGTGAGATTTTGTATGATACTGTAATCAAAGACACATGATTCTTCTTTTGAAATACTACAGAATTTTATACCACAAGGAATATGCCTAAATGAATATAAATGAAAAAAAATAATGGTTTGGTGATCCCAAGAGCTATGAGGACAAAGCAATATAACTCTATTAGAAATATATGAAATGACCTTCCTGAAAGGAGTGAGGGAAATACGAACTGATCCAGGTAACTTAGGAAATAAGTTAATTTAGTTGGCTAAGGTTGTTTCCCATGGAGGTATGTGTTACCAATTCGGAAGCCACTATGCATGCATTTTTGGACTGAATGATCAAATAAATGGAGCCAAATTGCTGGAGAGTATTAGTTTAGGGGAATAAGTAAATTCCTGTGGAGTAGATAGATCATGTGGTGCTGGAGAAGAGTAGGTGTTCATGTTTAATTAAATATAAAGACATAGAGACTGTTATGGTTTAGATATGAGGTGTCCCCAAAAGTTCACGTATGAGACAATGCAAGAAAGTTTAGAGTTGGAATGACTGGGTTATGAAACCCTTAACCTAATCAGTGCATTAATCCACTGAGGGATAAACTGAGTGGTGACTGTGAACAAGTAGGGTGTGACTGGAGGAAGTGTGTTGATGGGGACATGCCTTTGGGGGTTTATATTTTGTTCATGAGCAGAACTCTCTCCTTTTGCTTCCTGTTGGCACACTCTTCCACCATGATATTCTGCCTCCCCTCAGGCCTCTGGGAATGGAGTCATCAGTATACGAATTAAGACCTCTCACCCTGTGAGCCCCAAATAAATTTTTCCTCCTCTAATTGTCCTTGTCAGGTCTTTTGGTCACAGCAGTGAAAAAGCACATGCATAGACATATTTATAGACATGTGTACATATGAGAGTTAGCATACAATATATTACTTTATGAGCTGACAAGGCTTAGAGTCAAGAGAGAAGAACCTTGGTGCCCAGATTTTATATTCTAATAACATCCTCCAACAAAATCAGTTAGGATTCAGTGAATAAATGAAGAGTCCTAGGCTTGGGCAGGTAATAAATACAAGTAGCCTGGAGCATCTTGTAGTGTTAGAAAGTTCAAAACACTTAAACATTGATTGCATATTTTAGAAAAGAAGAAGAGCTATATGTAATTTCCACCTTTTGAAACTTAAAAAGAAGAGCCAATTAAATACAAAGTAAGCAGAAGAAAAGGTAAAATATTGTAAAGACAGCAAAACAATATAATAAATACAGCCATTGGATTATGCAAATGATATTGACGACTTAACAGTCTCCATAACATAGAAGTATCTACAATTAAAATAAACTAAACAACAACAGCAACAGCAAAAACACCCAGACTGAATCTTTCCTTGAGAAGATGCAGAGGTGACTCCCCCATTAAATGAGAAAATATTCTTTAGGAATAATTAGCTAAAGGCATACTAACATGTGGTATTTTCCTTTGTTTCCTATGACAAATACTTCAAACATGAATAATCTAACAAAAAGAAATGTAGGTAGCTAAGGTTCATACATATTGAACATAGGTGGGGTATGCCATGCAATAGAAGAATGTCAAAATGCATGTTAGGGTGTGAGACGCACGGGAAAGTCATGAGGAGTGTACGAGACTATCACAGAAAACATAAAAGGACTTGAGGTGCAGACCTTTCAGGGTGTGTACCTATGCAGAAAACACCCCCCAAACCAAGCTCAGTCCCATGTCCCCACCTCCGGCTCCACTCACCCCCGCCCTGGCATCCCCCCACTCCCCCCACACAGCCCACCACCCGCGGTGCACACCCCCAGTATCCGCTGCCCCGCCTTGCCTTGTAGTACCGCTGGGTCTCTTCTCTGCGCAGCCTCAGACAAGACAGCTTCCCGTTAAGCTGTTCTCAGCCTCCGATGTATGGACACCAGGTGGCACTGTGAGCTGGCAACTCAGGATTTCTGATCCAGACTCACACATACCTATAATGTTTGGGGGATAGGAGTCTATACTCCAAGTAGGGTAGGGATCAGAGCCATGGAAAAAGGGAGGAGAACAAGAGCATCAAAGGCCCTGAAACTCCTAGTCTACCAGTCAGGCGGTTCTCTCTATCCCTCTCTACTCTGACTCTTCCCCAAACCCAACCCCTTCTCCCTCCTCATAATACTTAACTCCACTGGGCAGAGACCATTTTACTGGTTCTGTCTTCCTGTCAGGCAGACTTCATAGGCTGGGGTAATATTTCAAGGTACAAGATCCAGACATTAAAAATTCCACAGCACAGGATGCATTATTCTCTGAGCTGCTCCTCCTGCATCACTTCCTCACCCGGTGCCTCTCACCTGCTCAGTCCCCTTAGTTTAGACCGTCCTGTCCCTGCTGTGATTCAGATCCACTGGCCTCCCCTCATGTCCTGTCCTGGGTCTCACTGGACTGAAATCTCAGAGAATATGGAAACTGTTTATTGTACTTTGAGCACCACACAAGTAGTGAACAAAAAGCAAGAGACAGAAGATACCCTTCATTCTGCCCACTTTTCAATCTGAGGAAGACTTGAACAGTAACTTGTTTCTTTCACTTCTTTCTGTCCTCAAAGCAGGACATGTACCTTGACTTTCACTTCAGCCTTTTCTTTGGCCTCCCCATTCTCAAGCCGCCTTGAAGATCCTCTGATGGACCATTCTGCTTCTCATCTCATCTATACCTCATCTTTCCTTCTGGATAAATTTGCCCTCTTAGACCAAGTGAAATATTCTTGTCTTCCAATATTCAAACCTATTATTCTGTTTCCTTGGACAAATATCTTCAAATCTGTATTTGTTACCACATTTTGTTTGTATTATTTTGTGAATTTTTTTTCAAAAGTTATAACCATGTCTGCTAACCTTATAGAATCATGACATGGTTTTCATTGCCTTCACATGAACAAACATGTCCTGAAATTTCTATCATCCTCTGAGAGATGACTTGCATCAAAACTTGTACAATTTGTATTAATAAGAAATCACACAGATAATTATAGAACTAAGTGAAAACCTGAGTAAACCCTCTAGTTTCATTTGCTTCTGGTTACTTGCTCTTAGTTGACTTTAAAAGTAACTTTGAAGGTAACACAGCTGCACAATTTGACATAAATCTCCCAATAGTTTTGCTATAGATAACACCTCTGAGGTGTGGATAATGGTGATAACATTTGCCTAGGTTACTTTTCAGGGATTTGAAGGTCACTGTTGTTGAAATCACTGGCCCTTCACTTGAGCTCCTGCAGATATCCTATGAGTGATTTCTTTGAAGTTAGGAGGACAAAAATTGCCCTCAGATAATGCTAAGCCACCCACCATTTTCAGAACATGTGTCTTATGAAGAGCTATGAAGCTATGGAGAGAAGACAAAACCGTGCAGACCACGGTTTACTTCACCTCCAAGCATCATTCCCTTTGCCATAAAACACTTCTTTATTTAATAAATATGGCTAAACTCTCTCCTTGGGGGAGTCGGATTTAACACTTGCTCTTCTGTTCCCACATTTGGCTACCTCATGAATAGACTTTCTCTTTTGTAAAACTAATTGCTTCAGTGATTAGCATACTGGGCAGCAAGCAAAATTACCCTGGTTTGGTAATAATGGTATAGCCTCTTGTATTTAAAAATGTTTCTTTATCATTTCTGTTCATGACACAGAGGGTAATGTTAAGATATTCATACATCTGGATCAAAATATGATTCAGAAAAATCAGAATGCCAAGATATTTATGAAATAATTCATGAATTAATTTCAACATATGAAAAAAAATTATGACCTTATAATTGTAGAAAGATTTTTAAAAATAAGTATAAAATGAGGTTACTATGGGTATAATAGTTTGACAATGATATTGTCTTTACTTTTAGATCTGTTTTAAATCTTTGTTTCATTGACGTACAGTCAAGACTTAGCCACTGTGCCTAGAGCAATTCTGACTTTCTCCTTCCTGTTACAAATGCCAGTGCCATTGTCTGTCTTTTTAATTTAATTCACATTGATCCTCATTCGCCTTAATGTTTCAAACTAGACTCCTATAGCCAGAGGTATAGTAATGATTGAATTATTGCAGGAGGAAGGCACCTAGAATTTTGAAAAATCTAATAAGGATTGAACATGTCTTGTCATATGGAAAACTAAACAAAAGGACAAAGTATACAAATTGGTGGTTGCAAGACACTGCTTATCAAAATAGTAAAGGGCATCCA